TTCCCATTTCATTAGCACAGGACAGGATGCAGATCCTATAAACACATTCCGTGTGAGTCTTTACATGACATGAAGTTCCTTGCTCTAAGTTTGCAAACCCACTGTTTTTTATATCCCTAGAACAACTGTTTATGGTCTCTCTCTTCCAGCTCTTCTGACTGTCCATATCTAAGCATGAAATATGACTTAGGACTGCATTAATTTTCCCTTCATAAGTTTCTTCTTTTGGCCGCTGTAGTTCTGCTTAAGCTTCTCTCTGACTAACAAAATCAAAATATCTACCCATCAGTAGCTCACCAATAGTGACAGAATGGACCTGGGATGCTGCCCTTGAAAGGACCTTTGCTGTTAAGCTGCGCATTGCAACTCCATTTCTACAAATATGGCCCAATTTATACCTCTAGCAAGTGAATAAACATTGAGCCAGATCCTTCAAATATGTTTTGAGTCCCTGTGGTGTATCAGTAGGGTTCAAGGTGTGTAAGACTGGGAAAGACATGAAGTAGGAAAGAGCAGGAAAAACATGCTCTGTGGTAACAGATATCATTACAGAGTCTTTTGGTAGAGCAAATAAACAATCCTCTGATAGCCAGAGATGCAGTAATTCTACTGGCCTTGAAAAAAAAATTGTAAAAAAAATCCCCACAGCCTAAATGTGTTTTGGTCTTTAGTTGCCTACATAAAGGCACTTAGAGATTTAGTGGAATTTTTCACATTTGCAACTGCCTCTAAATCAAGGCAATGAGATTGAAGTAGCTCCATCCTACAAAGTAAAGGTGACTGTCTTGGGTTTTTAAGCACTTAAATTTATTTATGAGCCTGGTCTTTCATATTTTTAATATTATTTTGTACAGAAGAATTTGGATACTGACATTTCTAGTCCATTAAATATTCCAATGTTTCCATTAAAAAATTCAGAACAAAATATCTACATTTTAATATGTCCCAAAGCATGAATTTTTAGAGAAATTTCTGCACATAGACATTAAAATATCTTGGTTTTCTACAGCTAAATTCAAGTTCTTTGAAGTTCAACTTTATATAAAAAATTTTAATAAATGTAATAGTACTTTTAAAATAGTATTTTTAAAAAGAGTTTTTTAAAGGACAGAAAGCAAAACTAAACAAAATATTTCCGTACTGTTACAACTGCATTTTTCCATGCAATTTTACCCTGTTTATGGAAGTAAGTATAATGAAATATACAGGTAAGTCATAGGTAAGTTCTGGTGCAATAATTGCTTTAGGTGTGTTTGCTACAATATAGATGGAGCAAAACAATAGAGTTTGAGGTTACTTTGCTCTTTTTTTATCGTTTTGCTAAAAAAGTTAAAATAACCATCAATGGAAAGTATAGCAAGCATCAGTGGGAAAGGCTGAAAAATTTAGTCAGCGTTTGTTTCTTCACTTTAGTAAAACACCGAAGACTGTGTATTTTTTATACCTTTTTATTTTTGATTTTGTAAAGACTTTGACAAATTGACTCTTCACACCCACAATGGAAATTGTCAGCAGCCCACAGCAAGGTAGGACTTTGCTGTCCACATTATTACCTGTTTTATGCAGTGGTACTTCAAGGATATTGAACAATACGTAAAATTTTTACCTTCTTTAAATCTGAAGGGGATTACTTGAACCTCATAGGAAAACTGTGCATGAAAAGGCAATGTTATGCTGTAAGCAATGTGAACTAAGAAAGAATATATAACTAGAGCCAGAGACCAATAAAGCTGTAACTATAAATCCACTGTGGCTGTAAATGGTTTCCCTTTAATAATGAAATACCACACTGGCAAAAATGAATATATAAGTCATGCTACCCAAACGCTTATTGGACTACAAAATAATGGTATTTTAAAACAGAGAGTCCTTTCATTCTCTAGAGTGCTCTTTGGTTATGTTTCAAGTCTTCTTCTGCAAGTAGAAGGGCTAAAATCTTCCTTTATAAAAAAGTAAAAAGATATGGGAACTGAGTCACGCAGGCACTTGTTCTGAGGCTTGAAGTGAAACTCCAGATATTCCAACGCTGGCAGTAATGCCACAGTTGGTAGGAGTACTGATGACCAAATTTCTCTGTAAAATAAAGCACATGTTGGCACTGAAGCTAAGTTTCTTGGTTTGAGGAAGAAAAGAAAAATATTTGTTCAATAAAATAAAACTCATTTGCTGGTAGGAAGGGGGGAAAAAAAGAATTCTTTTCAGTGAACACGTAGAAGAATAGCCTTTTGCTGCAAAGATTTCTAGAAGCTTTTGAAACCTGAAATTAGTTCTCGTTAAAGGAAAAAACTGATTTCATTGACAAGAGTTGTGAGGATCTCTTCTGCAGCTCATATAATCCAAGCCAGAAGCTACAACTCAGCTTTAGGCAGAATTTTTCTTTTAGGGAGTTATTTGAGATGTCCGTTTCCTGTTCCTATTATTTCTTACGTGAATGCTGCTGCTGACAAGTTTGATCTAGCAGAAAATAGCTACCTTTGGGATTGACATGAGGATCTGAGAGGCACATTGTTCTCTAGATGTTTCAGGGAGTAGAAAGTTGTGTTAGGGCTCTCTGACATAGAACATGAGTTGTATGATATAGTGTAAGGCAAAGACATTTGGCTCTTTCTCTTTCCTTCCCTCTCAACCCCTTGTGTGGGGCTGGGAAGGCTTTTCCACACTTGTACATACAATATGGGTGGCTACTGCAGGGCTGCAACACTTTGTGCCATTTCTGCCTTCAGTGAGTTGCTGGGAACCATCACAGTCATCATCTTCAGCTGCAGCAACTCCTTGGGGTGCTGCTGTTCAGAGGAAGAGCAAACCATTATTCATTTGGGCATTCATCCTCTGGATCTCAAAACCCAAGGAAGGGGTTCAGTCCTCATACTTTCATGCCTCTTAGATCTTGCAGAGATTTCGTTTCAGTCAATAAAATAATATCTCTTTCTGTATCCTTCTTCAGTATTAACATTTCAGGTGGTGGCAACAAAAGGTTAGAGTGCCTCTTACTACATTAGGAACAGTACTAACCTGGGATGAATTCACTCTCTGTGCTCAGATTTGTCATCTTTATTGTAGGCTTTCTGCTACTGCACTTACTGCTTTCCTAGCCCATTCTAACTTTAGGTCCCACGTCAGCAGAAAACGAGCATAAAAACAGAGCATTGGCACAACTCCTTGCCATATGCTCCGATGAACTTGGCAAAAGTGTCATTGTGTAGCCCACCACTTTCTGAGTTAAGTTTTTATTTCTGTGGGATCCTTTTCAATAATGCTGAAAACACAGTCTAGCTATGGAGAACTTATGTGTTTGCATCTCTCATGGGTGCAGATATCCAAATTTGTCTGAATGAAGTCCCAGAATGTCATTGTCTACCATCAGATTTCTGTTGAGCACCAGCTTCTGTCACCTGCAGAGGATGTTTCACAGTCTTAGGATGTAGCAATGTAATTTCTTTAAACAAAAGTTGTGTCAGTCTTCTCTGAAGTAACAAGCAATAGGACAAGAAGTGGCCTCAAGTTGCATCAGGGGAGGTTCAGGCTGGATATAAAAAAATTTCTTCACAGAAAGGGTTGTGGAGCATTGGAAGGGGCTGCCCAGGGAAGCAGTTGATTCATCATCCCTGGAGGTATTTAAAAGATGTGTAGATGTGGCACTTTGGGAGAGGGTTTAGGAGTGGACTTGGCAGTGTTGGGTTAGTGATTGGGAACAATGATCTTAAAGGTCTTTTCCAACCTAAACGATTCTATGATTCCACACAACGCCAAGCTACTCCCATTTTCCTCATCCCATGGATAAAACAGCACTGTGGCTGGAGGCACTGTGGGTTAGCTCTTGGGAGTTCCTGCATGTGAAGCCATTCCACAATTTCCCCTTATAGCTAGAACCTGTCATGAAGAAAAAAAAAGTTAATTACTAAGTAGAGTTGACTATTTAATTAGTCAGGCTGTTTATGAGGTCAATGTTTCCACAGTTTTTCCCGAGAGCTGACAAAGAGGGAGAAGAGCAAACATACTGCATTTCATTCTCAGTGGTTGAAGGTTTGTGATTAATTGCCATCAGCTGCCTTGAGTTGTTAAGGTGCAGAGCACAAGACTATTACAAGATCATGTTTTGATAGCCTTTAACTCCAGAGCTCTGCTTAGGTTTTTGCCACAGAAGTTGTAGAAATTGCTATGAGAAGGAGGGATATCAAAATTTTGCAGTGTGTCCTGAGGAGGAGAAGAGTGAGAATCTGTGCTGGCTGGTTAAACAGCTCAGGTAAGAGGTTTGCTTTGGGGTCTATACTCCCATTCCATGGCACAGCAAGTACCTCAACAGAAGAATGAAAAAAACCTTTACATTACTAATGGAGCAGATACAGTCAAGGCTAGCTGAAACTTTTCCGATTAAAAAAAAAAAAGACCCATTTTCATGTAAAAATCCCCACTCCAATTCTAACTCTGTACATCCCAGAGCCTCTTGCTGCTGGAGCTCCTTATTGGAGCCACTTCCTCTCCCTATTCTGGTGGCCCTTGCATCCTGTTGGTAGCAGGATGGAAGCTCTCTCAGGGAGGCTCTCTACCTTTAACATGAAGCAGCTGTGATTTTCAGCAGGGCCACTTTACACAGCCCAGAAAAGAGCCAGATGAGGGCTCTTGTGACTTGTTTTGCTCCTCTGTTCCTGGCTGTCTTATCCTGTACTACCTGGGCTCACTCACTGCTTGCAAACACGTGCTTTAAAAGTATCCCAAGGTCCAGTATGAAAGCTGGTGATGTGTAGCATATCCTAAGGAAAGATTTGCCTCTGTTCAGAAACCTTCCTGACCTCATGACTGAAGAAGAACAAAATAATGTATTAACAAAAACATGGTTCACTGCCAAAGAAAAGGAATTCCTGTAAGGACTGAAACAATAAATCTCCTCTGTACTGAACTCCCAGAGGGAGTATGTTGTGTTTCCTCCTGTTCTTTATCAAAGTCCCCAAAATAAGCAGGAATGGGCAGTGACCAGGCACAGTCACCACACACCTTTTTCCACGGAGTAATTAAGGCCTGCCTCAGAGTGAGAGAGCACTCCCTGCCCAGCTGCATAAGGCAAAGCTGACTGAACTACCGCTACTTCGATCAAGCATGAAACTCCTGGGGACTGCCTTCTTTTTCCTTGCTGTCCTCTGTGTTTGCACTGTAGGAGGTAAGTTCTTTGGCTTTTTTTGATAGACTTGTCACATCTCTTGAGTGGTTTGTGAATAAAAGCTTAGCTGTCAGTTGCTGGGTGCTTTTTTTTCATTTCTGCTGCAGTGATTGAAAGACCGTGTCTTGGAGGAGAAGGCACTAACTGGCAGCAGAGTTATATGTCTTCTGTGAAGAACTTTCCTGCCATTGTATTTTTGTGACAGCTTTCTTTCTAGGTGTCATGAAGCTCCTAAATATGAGAGGAGTCAAAAGCAGAGGTGTATTTACAAAAGTTTTCAGTTCTGTTTTTCTTGTACATGTTAAAGCATTTTTTGCAAAGATGGCTTTAAAGGGGGAATTGAAATTCTGAAAGATTTTGCAGTTTTTGCTCTTGCAAATTAGATCCATCTTGATGGATTTTCCTGGCACTGTGCCAGCAATAAGTTTGGCCAAGAATGTCTCTCAGAAATTATCTTAGTTTTGGCCCCAAAGATAAAAGGGCTTACAACATTTATCAAGTGTCAAACAATGAGGGGTGTAAGCCTAGGGGTCATATTGGTTACTGGGTACAATATCTTTTAGATATAGTTTTTAAATGCACAGTTTTAATAGAACTTTTGGTGTTCAGGTGGTTCATTATTCTTCAGCTTGAAAAATCATGCTTTTAAAATGGAATTTACTAGTAAAACCTGAAAGGATGAAAGAAACTGCAGCAAGGGCCAGAGTCTATCATCACTTTTATCAAAAGATACATTTGAAGTAAAATCTATCTTTTATCTGTACTTTCATTTCCCATATCTCTGGGCTAAAGCTTCCACAAATGCCTATAGATTCCCTGAAAAGGATCTATTAGCCAGAACTTAAAAATGTGATAATATTAGATTAAACGAAGTTAATCAACTTTTGCTCAGGTTGTGTGTTGAAATCTAGTCTTTTATGGTGTATCTTATGCTACTGCTTGGGCTCATTGCTGTTAGGAAAACAGATCAGTAAAGGAGGTTAAAAATAAGCCTGTGCCACAGAAATAACTGCTTTTAAAATTATGTTAAGTAAGTATAAGCCCCAAAAGTCTGCGTTGAAGTACTATTTATTCTCTGTCTGCTACTCCTAGTAAAAATAGTCTTCCTTTCATTGTCAAAGCTTAATTTCACAATTTCTGAAAAGCAAAGTGGAGTTGCATCACAAAGAGCATATTTAACACAACAGTCCGTAAAGCTTATCAGAAAGCAACATGCAAAGGTGGGAGGAATCCTGCTAGTTTTGTATAGTCCTTTCTTTAAAAAGCATTTTCCCTCCTCTGCACGATATGAACATGGCAGAACCAATGACAGTGAATAAGCAGATTTTCTATATGATAAATTTGTTCTGAACAATTTTGAATCTGTAAATGCAGAGGGGGAAAAAGTATTTTTTAACACTTAATTGCAAGGTAAATGTAGTTGTGAATTCTGTTGGTAAATTCACATTAGAAAATTAAGAAAAATTATGGGGAAATTTGGAGTATGTCTTTATCTACCTTGTGAAAGTAAAGTTGCATACTCTGGTCAAGCTTGCTTCAGGAAGCCCCATGCATCAACCTGTTAAGACAGAAGTGGTTTTATTGTCATTGTGCAAAGCTGGACAAAAGTATTTGGATTTCCACTTTTTGTGACCCCTAAAGTGCTCTAATCATCTGGGCTGTAACAGTAGAATTTTGTAATCTGGAGCTGGGAAATTATGGTGAGGAGACTCACACCAGTCTCCCTTGTGCTCAGTCTCCCTTTTTTTGAGCATTGGAGATAGCAACATGACTTTTCTCCAGCTGTTTTTACTATTTTAAAATTATTATCAGTAATCTTTAGAAATGGTCAAAGCACAGCCTGGTGTTTTAATACTCCCTCTTCCAGGTTTTGGAGTAGTTTGCCTTCAAAGCTCACAAAGACAAATGTATGGATGCCCAGCTTTTTCATGTGCTACATACAAGGAGCTTGTCTGCGTATCTTTTGTATATAATACAGAAGTGGACTAGGATATTTCCACTGTGGTTAGGAAAGAACATAGCCAGTCTCCTGTATGGCTAGGAGGCTTCCAAATTCCATGTTTTGTCTTCAGCTGCTCATAATGTTTTCCTAGGCAGTTTTCTAAATTGTCTTGGGATGTTTCATCCTCAAATGCCCCTAATGTTTTGGTAGAGTCTGCCCTCTGTCAGCACATTACTAGAAGCTCTGTTATGTACAGATGTGGAGGCTGGTATCCCCCTGACAACTTGTTCCTCCTACCTAAACTTTTCTCAACCCTCTAGGAGTTAAGTGACATGCATAAAACAGGAGTTCCTTCATGATCATCTCAAGGTATTCAGTTCTCCTGGCATATTGTCCTTTATTCTTACCTGCTCCAAAATGTAGCTCAAATAAAAATGCTTTCTAGGTTGGTTCATAGCATTTCCAGTTTTAAACAGGCAGCACTGGAATGTCTCAAAAAATACAATGTCAAATTATAGTAATCAAATATGAATGCTCTTCAGTCTGCCTTAGGATGTAATTACTTTAAAAATGCGTAAAAGTGAACTTTTTTCTTCTAAAAGATGAGAGGAGAAGCCTTGGCATGTGCTTATAATGTAGGTGCTTAGATAGTCTTTGAATACAGCATGGCTGTGGCTGCACAGCAAACATCCTCCACAGAGTGCTGGTAGCACAGCAGTGCCTCCTTCTGTCTCAGGCACCCTGGCTGGTTTCTGCAAGAAATGATGGCAGTGGGCTGTGCTCCTCCTGGCCTCGGGCTGGACATGTCCAGGTTGTGCCCCTGAGCAGAGGAGCTGGAATGTATCACCTTGTGTTGGACACGTCCAGGGCTGGGTACGTACACGTGATTGCTGACCCTTGTTGACGTACAGAAGTAGCTCTATCCAAGTGCTCTGTCGAAGTTGATGGCGCTACAAAGAAACAAGAGTGTTTTTATTTTTCGAAAGGTAGGAACAAATATTGGCATTGAGAGTTTGGTCCAAATGCCCCTGAAGTGATTTGGAGCTGTTCCATTTTGCTGTGGATCAGCCGTAAAATATGAGTTTCCCAGCCCCCTTCCTCATGAAGGGGATGCTGTGTAGCATCCTAAGCCTACAGCACATCTGATCAATTTCAACTCCCAGGACAAAAAATTGAGAAAAGTTCCACTAATCCAGGGATCCTGTAGTGTTAACACACATTTGCAGCTGAATGAATGCAGCTCTTGTTGATGTAAATTAGAGGAGATGGATAGCCTTTTCCTTTTCTGTCTTCTGTGCTCTTTGCTCACGAGCCTTCAAGTATTTTAAAAATTAATTTTTAAAATTAAATACTAACTAAACTGTTTTGAGCAGTGAAAGTTTTTGAGAATGGTCTCACTTCACTCTGGGTTATTATTCATGTTTATTCTCTGGACAGCCAGCAAGGCACAGACCACTAAATTTGAATAATTGTCTCATTTCTGAAAATTTCAGAAATGTGAGTAGGCTTTAGATATTACTTTCTTACACCTTTAACTTGCTTGAGCCAAAACTTTGGATGTCTTGAGAATTTGCCTGTTGTGAAAAAAATAATTATATACGGTGCTTTCACTGTTTCTAACAGTTTGCCAAGACTATTTTTTTGAAATCAAATTACAGTGCTGGAGCTTATGATAGCCTTTAAAGGAATATTGAATTTTTACTCCTCTGCAGATTTTTTTTGTTCTTTTTTACTCCCTGCTGCCACATTCCTTTCATTCATTAGATCCTTTGCCTATTGGGGCAATTTTTGCCTAATGAATTTTAAAGGTATATTTATTACTGAACAGAATAAGCTGCGTGTTGTATCCACAAACCTGAAAGCAAGTTTACTGTGTTTACTGAGGATAGAAGCAGATGGCTTGATACCTGCTTGGTTATGATTTACAGCCAAAATAAATGGAAACTGAATATGAAGGGCAAGTTGCCTACAGCATTCAGCTCCAAACCTGGGAACACATAATGCTGTATAACATGCCCAAAAATTGTTTGTCTCTTCTGAAAATTTACCAGAATGTTTTTTCTTTTCTTTAGCTGACTCTTTATCTGTATTCAAACCTAGTATTCTTATTAATCTTTACTAGTTTATAAATTAGGAAAAAAATCTGCTGAGGTTTGGTTGGGTTTTGTGGGGCTCTTTTTCTAAATAGGTAAGTACCTCGAATTTGGACTCATATTGTTTATACATCTGAGTCCTGTGTGGAAAAACCTGCTAAAGTGCTTAAACTTTTTTTTTTTTTGTACAGTAATTTGTACTGCAAAAGTACAAATTGAAAATAGTCTTTAAGAAACTCTTAACCTTGGGATGGGAGTACTTTTAACTACTACTATTTGATAGCCAGACTAAGTTAAACATGTAAAATCTCATGGGAAACAATCATTTTTATATATGGCCCTTATGAAGAGGGCGAGAGAGTGAGTGGTGGTGTTTGTAATTTTTGCTGCAGCAGCTCAGGGAATACTCATGAATGGGTTTATTTTGCTATTCCGTAAACAGAGAGACAAAGTTGGATTTGTGTGTAGCAGGTTTATTTCCAAATATAAATCAAGAATTAAAGACCTGTCTCCTTTAGAAGACAAACATCTACTTTTGTTTTCAACTAGCACTCTAAACATGGGTTTCTATATTAAATTTCCCTTTAAAACAGAAGGGCCAAACCCCTGATTTGCACCATGTCCTGCCCTGCAAGTCACTGTCATTGTTCCAGCAGCTGACGTATCCCATAGCAATACCTTGGCACTCCTCTTGTGAAAATGGATCCGTGGATGCCCTAACAGTGGCATGTGGTATCAGCCAGACCTACCTGCGATAGGAAAAGGGGTTTGACACAATTTCATATGATGTTATCTCCACACTGTGCCTTCTGGCCCTACCTCCCCATGCGAGAAGACTGAGCTGATGATCGCTTGCTGATATGATGACTTAGAATAAAATTCATCAAGTATGATCTGCTGGGCTGTTGTAGGAAGGGGTAGGAAGCCCTCTACTGTCACCAACACATGTAATAGAGGCTGGTCTG